ACACTCAGACGTTTGTACGACGTGTAGGCGTAGTATTCTCATTTCATAACTCCTTAAGCTGAAGTAGAAGATCTTTCTTTGCTTTAACGATCTCGCGGAGTTACGGGTGGAATTTAACCGCCTTTGCGGTATCGTGGCTTGCTCCCGCGTAAAAAGAACACCGAGAAACGGAGAATGTAAGACGTGAATTTGATGAACAGGTTTTCGTGGTAAATCCACAAAGCGGTCTCGGCCAGCGAATGTCTGCAGAAGTTTCTGCTCATTCGATATTCTAGTCGGTTTTCAATGTAAACGGCTGGCGCGATGGCCAGTTCGAGCGAAGCTTTGCTATTGCGAAATTTTACGAATACAATATCCATCTGATCTCAAATATATTGGTCTCTGGAGTCCTTTACACCTCTGATAATGTATACGAAGCCTCGAAAAGCTTTTGTTTACGAACGTTTTACTTATCGACGTTTACTGTATCCGAACTTTAGACTTCCAGGAATTTTGAAAGTAAATAAAAATCAGTTCACCTTATTTTATTACTAGAATTAATCCTTTATAAAATTACTATTTTATTTGATAAATCGAATTAAGATCACTTGAATGCAGTGGTACGTGTTAATAATTTATACGCACCGTTTGATTTTGTTTAGCAATATTTTCGCCTATATTTAATTTCGTGAAAGTATTATAAAATTTTTGGGGCGAGAGAAATGTTATAAAAATTAAATGGAATTGTTTTTAAGTCATACACATTTAGATTTACACGCTATGCTGGTTTCGTAAAAGTTCTGTGTAAATTAAAAATATTTCGCGCCTTTTATTTAACACGTTCATGAATTCACGGGTACATGAAAATTAAAGTTACGCGCACTTCAACGTCTGGTATTATTTTTGTACGTTATTACACGAACGCACGCATTGTATGAATGTATGAAGTTAAATTTGTTTTAATGGGTGAGATTATAAAAAGTTAACTAATGCCCGAGATTTACTTTTAACCTGAAAATATTACGGCACAAACTTTTAGTTGGATATTTAACGTAGAAGCAAAAATTCTGGGAAATAGTTAATGATAAATACATGACAAAATAAAGACCGTGTCCTCCATGATTCTTTCTGACACCTTTTCTAAATTTTCATGTAGAAAGACACGCACAGATCAGAAAGGCCAATATATATTATATTGTAAGCAATGAAAATTTACTAAACGAACGTGGCGGGATTTTTGGTAAGAATTATCGACTACATGTAACTTTTTGCTCATTTGCATTTATTAAATCATTCCTTACTTTTCTTAAATAATGTTCTGATAATGTATTATATTCGTATTGCAAATAATTGAATATCTCTTATTACTAAACTTAACACAAACTATTCAATTCTATTCGGATTAGGGTCTAGTGAAATGAAATGTATGAAAAATAGAATAAAAATCTCAGAGTGTTAGTTGATAAAGGTTAGGTGTATTACCCGATAACATTAATCGCAGCTTCGGGAAGATTTCGATCATTTCAGGTCTATTTGAAAGTACTATATGTATATACAACGCATAAGATATGAAGAAAGTATCATGAATAAACTAAGATTATTGATTGTAGGAGTTGGTAGAACTCATTGAAAGAATACAAAATCCTAATAATCATATCTCTGGACAGTAATAATTTTTAAAACTCATTTTCTGTGTATTACAATAGATATTAACGAAGGAGTACTACAATTTTAATCTGTAAATTTTTAGAGGCTATTATACCAACCTAATTTAGTCTCTAAGTAACTAAGATAAAGTTATCAAATAAGAAACCTTCGATACTTACAATCAACACTGTCAATAATTCATACTTTTCCTAATTGAAAACCCAATCTAACTCAGGTTCCAAGCACTATAATAAATATATTGAAGAAGAAACTCTTTAATTATAATCTGTAAATGTTTATTATTTCATTTGCATTTCTTAATTTATAACCCAACGTAACTTAGGCTCCAAGCGCACTGATAAAAACGGTAATTAAAAAGAACGTTTCGATAACAATCTGCATTTGCTGTTCCAATCTTGCGATATAGATCTCAATTTAATTATTAATTTCAAATATTTCCGTTATGGGAACAACGATCCGATACGTTTACTCTCAAATGGTACTCGAAGTCATCGAAATCAGCTCGTCGTTAAGAAAAGATATCCACGTGTTACGTTACGGATTCGTATGCTAAGATTTATTAGGACAGTAACGATGATTGCATTACAGTTCAGTAACTTATGCGTGAGATGATTTGGCAAGAGCCTCAAAACAGAATAAGAAAATACATCCGCCACCAGCGGATACCATAGTCGTTGCTCCGATCAACGTACGCGCCTTGTCCGGAGCACGACTATGATGCTTTTGAGTAGTTTTAACCGCAGGACAAAGTGTGTGGAGCGCCCCAGGCGCGACTTCGTTAACTTGCAGATCTGAGTGACACACGGCGTGTAAGGATAAAAGTTTCTTTTTTCTTTTTTTTTAATTTTTCTCTCTTCCTTTCTTTTATTTCTCTCTTCGGTTTCGTTTCGGGCTCAGGAACTTGCTGCTAGGCTGCCCCTGAACGTCCTGCCTAATTACGGAGCGCTTTTTGTTGTTGAGTTCGTGGATTCGCGATAGGTTCGAAGTGTTTTTAATAAACTATTCAGCTAGTTGAGTCGTTCTTGTACACATAGATCCTTCTTAAACGTATAGAGTCGTACTAATCGTCGCGAGCTCAACGCAGGTGTCTCGTCGTGGCAAATTAATTCTGCATAGAACGACAATAAAGTATTCTGACTACGTTCGAAAGCGATCGCGTATACTGAATCTCTTGCCGTAGACTCTGTACAGCTTCTAATACGGTTGTTAATTTTCATCCGGGCATTAATCGCGACACGAAACAAACGAATTTATATATATGTATATATATATATATATATATATTTATTTATATTAACGATTTTATCGCCTTAAGTAAATACGGTAACGAAATAGAGTGCGGAACGAAAGGGCACAATCAATATCGTAGGACGAAAGAAAGATCAGTCCTGAAAGGAATTACGTTCGCGATTACGCGACATATTCGCGTTCTTACTTACTGCTAGTACCACGTTCTCCTTAATTCGGTACTGATCTTTCTTTATCGCTAGAATAGACTCAGGTGGGTACGAGCGAAAGCTACGACTTACCGTTTTTTTTCGGTTAACTCCGTTACATCTGAGCTTATCGGTACGGAATAAAACGGCACGGCAATGTATTTAGTAGACAGCAGCTCGAACGGGTTAAATGTAACAGTATTTACAACGTGATACTTACATACAAGCATTTCATAGTGCCGATTTAGGTGTACAACTTCCTAATAGTGTTTTTCGCCGCCATCATCCCTTATAGACAACATATAAGTAACAACGAACGGAAGTTTTATAACTTGCTCATATACATCGTACGGTTCCGTCTTGTACTCTTTCTCACACGCTTGGGGACGTTCAAATCGTAATGGCACAGTCACGCTAATTTTCCGTTTATCGTTATCCTTTTTTATAAATCAATCAGAAACTCGGGAGAAGTAGTCAACGCATTATAAACCTATTAAAAAATATTCACAGTAGTCTAACATACACAATGACAGTATTGCTCTACCTATACTTATGTATCACGGGGGTACATAAATTTGATATCGAATTCGTGAGAGTTCAATCTTCGTGAAACGGTTCTTTCTTTCCTTTTCCGTTTACGTCGAGCTTAGACGATGGTCGTTTTCCGTTTTCCGGTTTTCACGCGTTTGAAGCACGTTCGTTACGCGGTTTATTTTATCGACGCATTCTCGACCGACGTCGTCGTTGTAAAAACCACGCGAACCGTCGTTGTCGCTGTTATATTTCCCGCGATAAGCCCGGGAAACCGGGCACGGCTTGTAGTTCGCGGAGTTTAGAGTTTGAAATAATTTTCTGGAAAAGTGGCGGATCTTTGTGTGATAAAGTTTCGCGGAACTATCGTTAACTCTAACGTTAATGACTTTCTGCCCCGACAGCGTCGATGTCTCTCTTCGCGCGCCACCCCCCCGTCGCTTACATCGATCGTTAAACATTTATCTTTATTGATTGCTTGTTACGTGGACAAAGTTTGAACGTTGAAATTTGTGTATCGTATTTCATCCACCGACTACAGTTCGTTATTTTGTTTTTATTAGAGTCTGGCAGTTTGCACGTTTCGTTGACAGTTCAGTTTTCTTTCGATCAGGAGCCATGTTTGTCGCGTGTCGTTCGATGTTTCAGTGGGTCACGAAAGCATTCCTGTTTTGTAAAAATTTCGATTTCAAATGGTTTATATATTGGACTAGAGAATTGTTAGAAAAAAAACAGTTTGTTATTCGAAAATAAATAGTAGAAAGATTGATGCTCAATTTGAAATCCGGCATTAAGTGACACAAAATCGACTTCGAATTTAATGATTATTACGTATATAGTATTCATAAAATGAAGATTAAAAATATGTGAAATTGCAAGCATTTATTTATTAAATTTGGCCGAAAATGTTTCTCTGCGTTATTAATGCATTTATACGTCATAAGCGTTAATTGAGATGTTTCGCGTATGCGCGTTTAGGGAAAAGAAAGGAATCCCTGGGTATTGATACCAACTCTGGGCCTCGGAGCAATTCATTAATCGTGGCTATTCGTGCATTGCATAAAATATGTGCAATCGAGTACAATTATATTTAATATAGTATTTTATTCATATAAATATATAAACTGTATAGGTATCGTGATAGTTTTTGCCATCACTTTTAACTACGATTGTATTATTGCTGAATGTTTGAAAAACGAATCATATTTTTATATGACACGAATACTAGCGTAACTCACTGCACGAACAACTTGCGTTATCTAACTCATACTTGTATGCATAATAAATTAAAGAAAAGATTTTGCAATTATTTGAAAAATTTACATCGCGTAAGGTTATACTAAACATGTATGTATTCGCCTCTGCAAAGCATTTATGCGCGTTCAGAAAATTATTTCAAACTGTTTTTCGATAACGTTATTGCTCTTCCTTCGAATAATTCAATGTCGAACATCTCCCCGATGCAATGACCATCCTTAATAATACTCGTTCCAATTAACGAACACACACACATATTTTATTAAATCCGGCTAATTAAGTTTCCACGCTGAATTCGAATCGTTGCCGCGTTTCTCATACTCCCCGGCATTTGATCGTATCGAAATCTCGATCGAAATCCGTTAATCGTAAATCCTCTTCCCTTTTGGCCAGTTCGAACGTTAATTCGTAACCGGTATCGGCCAAACTATTCATGATTCCACGAATATCTATATTTTTCTCGCGTATATTCAGACTTGTATACGTTTCCTAATAAAACTAAGAAGGAATGGAAACATCACAGTCGTATAGAGGATGTAATAATAAATATGTCCGTAGTGTATCGTGTATTTAGGAAGGCGAATTTTTTCGTGTCTCTTTGTTCACTGTACGTATGACTTTCGAGTAATTCGTCGGACAGATAGTTCATAGCGATTTAATAAATTCGTTTACGTACGAGGAGGAAAACATTAACAATTCAGCACTTTTGAATACGCCGCGCTACAACGAATCATATACATATCCCATTACTCGTACAACTCTCCTAATATCCTCTCTTCGTACGTGTTCATTAAATTAAGTACACTATCAGGGAATTCCTCAATGCGAAAATACAAAGGTTACGAACGTGCATGAGATTTGGTTGAATTTAATGTTTGGTTCGATTGTACCATGTACGTTGGTCAGCAATACTGGCCACTGGAATGGCGTGAGGACAATTCCAAGAAAGAAAATTTCTTATTGCGTCATTAGACATATTTCGAAAAATATTCCCAAGTGTATGAACTATAATTTTAAGTTATTTTCAATATTCTAACGTAGGGTTAACCATCAAAATTGTGGAAAGAATCAATTACATTAATCTTGTTTGTCAAACTACGAAAGGAGAGCGATAGCTCGTATTCCAGAGAACAATTTGGTATTCTCGAAGCAAGTGAACAGTAAAAAGGAATTATTTCTCACGAGGTGCATCGAGGTTCGTGAACTTTTGAATTTTCTTGGCGAGAATTTTCCCTTGGTAAGTTCGAATACTTTATTGCCAGTAGGTATATCTCTCCATGGTGGTCATCGTAAAATGATGGAGAACGATCGTCATTGGGTTAGAGCGGTGATAGACCTAATAAATGAATTACGATGTCCCGTGTGTCTTTATGGTGAACGGCCTTCGTATCCCTTTGGCAATATCAATGGCTTTTGCAAACAGTGCAGCCACTTTCCTTGGTACGCCGAATACTGGAGGATTTTGGATGGCTTCTGTCCTCGAAGTTATAGTTCGTTGTAAATTGAGCCAAGACCCGTCCAAGTAGTTACCGATCGTGATTAAAGCGAAACTCGACCAAAGAGAAGGGGGCTCGCGAGCACCAGCACCATCAGCGTTGTACCTTTAACAAAAAATAAAGCAGACAGACTTGTGATTACCTTGACGCGATCGAGATAACGACGTTCTAAACATCTTTTTACGCCCTAAACCCGGGATGGCCGACATCGATCCAGCTCTCAACGTAAGGAACAGCGGATACACGGCGCGATAACGGACATTCGCGATAACAAAAATAACTTCTGATACGCGTATCCGTTTTCCTTTCGTCTTCCTGTAAGTGCTCGTTCGGCGAAACAACCGCGATGAGACGAGGTAATAGCAGTATCTAATGGGATCAAGCTCAATATCTGGTCACGAATGTCGAACAACCGAAGTTTCGTTTCGTTAACGTCGAGTAATACGCGTAAAACTATATACAGTTAGAAAGGTGTGCATCCACTGCATAGTGCAAGATTTTTTACATATTTAATCTTTACATTATAAGTGACATTCGTAACGCGTCTATTTATGTATGTATAAGTTTGTAATTTCTAATACAATTTTGAGATTACGGATTCCACTTGTACAGATTTATTGGACTTCTCTTACACACGCATTTCTGTATATACGAATGCCACTCTCCCGCAATGGTAGTGTATGTTCGTGTACCCGATATTAGAGCCTGAGGCTGGCTCGAATGGGTACCTGAGACATCTAAATTCTCGGGCAACCCAATCGTTCCGAGTAACTCGACACGTCCGAATTAATCCGGAAGAGGAAGCAGGCAGCTGTAAGCAGCACGGCCGGTAGGGCAAAATCGGGATTGTTTTACGTTTTCGTTACATATTTAATGATTCACGGTCATTTATATAATTAGGGGATACGCAAAATCTAATCCAAGACGCAAATATTTAATAATACAAATAGGTGACTCGAGGTATTTCTAAATATAAACAGAGAAAAGCAGAGATATTTTTAGGCACAATGGCACGTAATCGTAAGTTACTGCGTGAAAAATTCTGTAGCAATTTTGTTCGAGCGGAAGTCACAATATTTTCTGATAGTGAGAATAGATGTTCCCTCCTAACCTGTGTTGGAGGAATATCCAGAAAATGCCTCGTTACTAACGATAAAATTGAAAGATATAGGCAGTTAGCGATGGCTATCTTATAATATTAGCGTTTCTTTCGCTTTCAGAAAAATATTAGATTGTGCAATAAGTCCATTCCTGTCCAATGTGGTGTTTTAATTTTATTTTAAACTTTTATTGCATAACCGGTAGAGCATCGTTTATAATTTATCGTGCTGAAACTGTCAATGATTTGTTTTCTGAGTCGTAAACTTAATCGACCCGTTTAAAACGATCAGCATTAACACTCGATAAAATTTACAATTTAAATAGAGCGAGATCATGACTAAATCACAGCCCGGAACGTCGGTTCCCGGTTATTTACATTTCAAATTTTATTACTTGTTAATTCCGATCGTGTTTAATCGCGCTGATTAAGTCCACTAACAACTTATTAAAGAAAGTATCGTTCCCATATTTCGTAAAATGATTCAGGAACGAATAAAAATTTTTCTCAGTAGTATCTAATAGTTTCCCAATTATTTTACACATCGTTCGATTAGTACAACAAAAATTTGAATTAACAACAAAATAGTACATTAAAGAATATGATTCCTCGTGATTACATCAAGTCATCGAATATTTATATCATCAGCAATGAATATTTTATAAACGAATGACATTTTCTCCGGCCATTTGGTTTCGAATCAGACGCTTGTATGAGTTTACAAGCGGTGAACGAACATTTATGTATATCCTCGTAACAACGTACAATGCGGTACGCTTTTACGACGAGAGGGGCATCGCAGCGTTTCTCGCGTTGATCTGCATCGCAAACGACCTGCAGGGATTTTCGTTTTGTCGTGACACAGACCATTGGAAAAATCCGGCAACAAGGCACAGCCGAACGTACACCTTGCAAGTAATTGCATTCGAAGGTATGCAAGGGGGGAAAAAAGATCGACGCGATGCTCGGAACGGTTTCTGTTTAATAATGAATAGGAATGTAGCGCGATCCCCCGCTATCGTTTCACAGTAAATAATATACATCGATTATGTATTCGGGAATAATGAGCGCGTAGGGAAGAGCTGGTCATAATTCATATCAATGAAAATAACCAAATTTTATTCGAAATCTTTAATCTTGCAATTTTCTTTGAACGAGCAAAACATTGTAAATGAACCTCGTTCGATTTTGGCTATGTTTGAAATTATCCATGCGCGTTTGGATCGATTTGGATAAACGAGGTTCCATTGTAATAGATTTTTTCAGAAAATAGTAAGTAAAGAAACGAGTCTAACAGTTTCCATTACAGAATTCTGATTTTGATTCAGTATATAGAATCATTTCGTTTCTTTTGTTAATAATAAGAAAACTATGGTAGATGCCATTCTCTGACATAAAACGTCGTCTTCTTTACACTCTGATAACATTGTTAATTATTTGAATCCGAAAGATAGTTTTTTTTAAATTATATACGTTTGGTCACGTAATATGTGGAATCTCTCGCAACCTCGACTATAAATGCACCGAGCCCCGTGTTCCATTTACAGAATGTTCGCAAACAATGTTGTCCAATTCAATTTTATTAGCCGCGCTTGGGACCTGGCACGAGTAATAATTGCCTTCGTTTAGTTTTTCCAAATATGGAGAGAAGAGGAGTTCAATTACTGGCCGGGATCTGTACGGGAGAATTGAGCCGGACGCATTAATTACTTTCATGATCGACTAAATTGCATGAGCTGATGCCAGCGAATCGTACTGTTTGCTTGGTTGTTTACGCCGCTGCCGTTGCTGGCGTTACATCCACGGAATTTTCTTTTTAATTTAACTTGCAATTTCCTTTGCTATTTTTCTACCGATTCTTGTTGCGTTTGAATCCCTGCTCTATCGCGGAGAAAGCAGCGAGCGAGAAACAGCACTGATTGCCGCGAATTAGTCCTCGGACAGGACCAATTTGTCTAAATTTGTTTACCAATCTGTACACCGTGGCAGTTTCTGTCAAACACAGAAAGAATTATTTCTAAATCCCCTGTCTTTTCAACGGTTTTCAAGATACCATTATAGAATGAACGTTTGGAGGGTAATTTTATCCCTTAAGTTTAAATTAAAAATTAACTTTATACGATCTTGTATTCTTTTAATTTCCTTTTGCATAGAAAAATGTTTGTGAATCGAAGTTCTTGGAGGATACGAGTAGATATATAAAGGGTGAAAAGTACAACAAGGATCGAATAGATGATGTTTGATAGACGATGAATACGAAGAATCGATCGTCATTTCACCCTCAATGGAATATTACTTTCAGCGAACAAAGCGGAACAGAGTATTCCGGTGCAGCGTAAATAGGGTGAATTTAAATTAATGTAAATGATACAGTGTAGTATCGGTACAAGACCCACGGCTATTGGAACAGCCCATTGCGATTTGTATTTAATGTGTCGTTACATGAATTAAATTCATTAAATTAATCTACGGATATTCTCTATTCGGCGCTATTTGATAAAATACGCTATAACCGATCGCATTTGCGTTCTCGCCGCCGCCGTTTGAAAACCCACGACTCATTTATTAGGACTACTTGTTGATGTTACTAATATTTTTCGATTTTTTTTTTTACACACCCCCATAGTACCTGTTGTATCGTTTTTATATGCAAATGTAATTAGTTTTCACATACGATCGCTGTACCAATTTCGGAGATTATACCGCAATCCTGTTACGGTAATTTCGATTCCATTTAACTTTCACGAGATTCAATCGAACAACCTATTTCGATTTCTTCCCAGGATTAATCTCTTCATCGATTTATTCATAAATTATGAAACACGAGTGGTCGTGCGCGGATTATTGCATACGGTAATGAATAGCGTTTATTAATCGTATCGATTACACGGGTCAATCTAGAATCGAACATTTCGTGCTACGCGGTCGAGATATCTGTTTAACCAAGTATTTTATCATGTTTCATGGGAATAATCGAATGTCTCGTGTTTTAAATCGACCGTCCAAAATAATTTTACGGGAAAGTGGTTAAAATAGAGGTGTGCGTGATAATTAAGTATGTTACAATTGTATTACGTTGATCGTAACGAGAAAACATCGATATTTGTTTGTTCGAACGAAGACTTCTCGAGATGTGAACGAAGGCTGACTTTTCAGTAATGTTTACAGGTCTACGGGAAAGGCTTTTATCAAAAATTTGATTGTAAGGCAGGACTGAATCTATTCACTCGGGATTGTGCTTTCACTGGAAGGTATTTTATAAGATAGTGTCGAAGAAAGAGTCGACTTGGGACATCTCACACCAGTTGCTCTGTTGAGGAGAACTCGTTCACATCTTACCGCCTTGGCGGCTCGAATGCTCGTAGTCCGACAACATTCAGCGAAAGTAGTGATGTGTTTGAGCATGTCGCACGAATCTTTGTTCCAATATGCATTTCTTTGATAAACTGGACGGTACGCATCGAATTCATTTATGTGGTTTACTACATACTGATCTGATTCCAGCAGTAAATAAAACTTTCACGAAAATGAATAAAATTCATAAAAAATAGAAATTGTTATGTAACAAGAATATACCAAAAAAGTTCTGTTATTTGTATTTATTATTCTCATATCTTTTATTCGAAATAAAATACTGTGTTTAACAGGAAATCTATTCTGAAATTCTAGACTATCCATTCCATAAGAACAGTTTTGGAAATAATTTTTAATGGTAAATTTGCAAATTATATTTTCAATCACTGTATCCGTAAATATTTACGAATACGATAGGAGCGTAGTCGTAATCCATGAACTTTCAAATAAATTTTTCTCAAAACAGCAATTCCACACGGTGAAGTTTCATTTGTAACGATCGACGCTATTTTCTCGAGCGATTATCTGCTTTTCGATTGTTCCTCGAATTATGTCCCAGTAAATATGAAAGACAATTCGCATTATTTATGGGATTACCTGGTATTAAAGATATTGGATTACGTTGGTAATTGAAGACGGGGAGGTAGATAACTATTAAGCGTCCAATAATGGCCGAAGAAGTAACAAAAGCGTCTCGAATCTCTGGCATTCGGTAACGATCGCCAATGAAAACGAATAACGGTTTCCTATCGCGATTTAATTTGGCAGGTGGTAGCGAATTGCTCGATATTAATTGATTTCGCTCGACGGGCTGCGCGCGAATCAGGTGTATTAATTCACGTTCTCATAAATGCGAACTTTCTGCCGCGATGTGTTTGCGAGAATCGAAGAAAAAGAAGCAACGCTGACTGCGCCATTTAAAGTATATCGTTCCAATGGTTTCTGTAAGTTTGTTCGGCTTCCCTTTATGCTCGGGAAACTTGATTCTTGTCTTTACGATTGGTTTGTATTCCGCGTTTTACAGCGCATCTAAATGGCGAAAAAAGAATTCGTCCATACACGGAATATGTATTTTTTTTTTATTCTTGTTTGTTTTTGTGCCACACGCGCATACGCATACGGTGTATGGGTAATATTATGAAAACGAAAGAGTTCGTATGGGAAACTTTTTAAATAAAAAGCTCACGGTACGCGCACGTAGCATATTCAGAATTTAATTGCCTTCTCTTCGAAACCATTGTTCTAATGTGATGAAATTTGTGTGAAATGTTATTGTTGAAATGTATGAAAGATACTTATTAAAAAGAAACCAACAAAATAATTTCGAATCTCTAGTATTATATTTAAAATCTGAATTTCAAAAGAATTTCTTATTTTATTCTATTAAAAGTTTTATCATTTCAACGTTGGCGTGCAATTTATTCAAATTTGCCATATTCATTTCATTTCATGAAACTGCTGCAATTATTACCGGCACTTCTATAAGCAAATGCGGGTTTTAATTATTAATCAACGTCTAAACACAATTTGAACATATATATTAATATATAATGTTACAATGTTAATGCGTTGCCACTGTGTTTTTCTCGTGGCGAATGCGTTATCATGTGTCATTATGAATACGTGAATATGTCATTATAAATATAGCCTTGTGTCAATTTCTGGCAATTATAAATTCAAGTTAAGAAAAGCTTTCTCGTCTGCACGAAAGTGTGGATAACAAAATGAATGTGATAACTTATTTGCATTGCAAACAGAGAAATACTTTTATACATTTCGCCCCGGTAATTATGGTACAACCGGGATGGAGGGTGATTCTACGAGACAAAGTGAGCCAAAATTGTTGGATAAAATTTTTTCATATAACGCTTCGTTCTCGACATAATCGGGTTTGAAAATTTCTCGCATACGCGTGTGATTGAACATGATTTGTTTCGCGCGTCTGTCCCGTGGCTCACTATTTCTACTTGCGTCCAAATTGTACTTTATTGCACGCGTGCCGAATACATTTTCAAAGTCAATTCTCTCGAAAACAAAAGGTACGCATTATCAAATTTCATTTCATACGTTCCGAACAAAGAATAATATTTTCAACTTTTGCCTACTTTTGAAACGTATAGAAAATAAATCCACCAACGGAAGAACGTTATCCCCTGTGTATTCTTTGTGGTTTGTTGGCTATAAAAGTACCATTTACACTTTTCGTACGTTGTCTAAGAATTTATTTACCTGAAGTGGAACCCGGTATTTTCACTTGCCCCGATAAGTTAAATTAAAGTACGATCGACTCTTTCGACGGTGTGGGGCTTATTGATATTTGAGACTGAAAATGCAATAATATCTGGCACGTGCAAAGCTTAAAATTACAAGAAGCATCACCTAAGGGCAGGCATCGTTTCCTGTTTCGCGCTGTGCTCCCGATTCGTCCGATTTACGTACGATTAAGCAAACGAATCCGTTTTCCGAGTGATTTAATAATGGAAGTGTGTACATAAAAATTCGATTTCCTCTATCAATATCTGCAGGGCAGAGCGGGGGGGGGGGGCCGTCTACTGCAAATCCTATTATAAATCGCGTACAATCTTTTTTACACCGACGCGAGCTTCCGCTGTTTTGGATGTAAACTGTCTATTATTCACAGGATTTCGCGATAAACCGGTCGAATCCGACGAGGGTGCTTGATTTTTTAAAGCTGCATCCGGGATTCCGCGCCAATGTTTTGTAAAAAGTTGGAGAACTTCTGTGTTCGACGGTAAACCTCCTTTCAGCGCATGAAAATATTATAAATGCGTGTATCGAACGTTTCGCGATGCAGAATTGTAACGGTCTTTGCATTGCAAACTATGTGTCGTGAGCCCACCCAGCTTCATATCGTGTTTCTAAGTACTAGTATCAGCTGCACGACATCGATTCGTTCATCAGAATATGCATTACAACGACCAGACTGCTTCTGGAGTTCGTACGCAACTCTTCCACCGTCAGGCATCTTCTTTAAAATGTTCGTTAACCCCCAAACTCTCGACTTTACTTCTTGAAAGTTGTATAATACTCTTCGGCGGATTTAATTAAAATATATTTTTAAAATAGTATTAACACGCAATTCTTTCGAAGTTTATACTGGCGCTAAAGAACGGTTTATTTAAAATAAGTTTGACAGGTTTGTGTTGACAGGTTTTGTCGTAATGTAATTATTTAGAAAAATTAAGTATACTTTGCCCGTGCATACTTTTAATTAGCTACACTTTTCACAAATTAATAGAAAGCGTTTATACTAGTATTTTAGAAATCTCATTTCAGTTTCCCTGTGTACGGAAATTAACACGAAAGGGGTAAAAAGACCGCCATTGTGCGGGTAACGTAAAAATTCAAGTATGAAAGGGAACGAACGTCGGGAGGAAAAGAAGTTTAGTTTTACCTTTTAACGTTGACGCATTACTCGTCGGCGGCTTTGTTGTGTAATTTCCTTCCTCGTCTACAAACACGTAGCTGGCGTTAAATCCCATTCCGTCGTATCTGTCGTTGCTCTTAAAAGTCACGCGAAAGAACCTTCTGTCACTCGCGACATCGAACTCCTTCAGCTGACCACAACTTCTCGGGTACTTTCGGTCCCTGGTCTTGTAATTCGAAAACTCGACGAAGTCGCTGGCCGAGACAGGGTCGCATCTGTAAAATCAATCACCCTTAAGTTATAATCCTTCACTAAACGACTTAATTCATCTTCTCTACGAAACGGGCCACCTGAGTATTTTTTTTTTATTCTGCGATAGAAGAACTATTCCATACATTGTTTGAATAGTTTTAAAGAACGCTCACCAAGGAAAATTGTGTTTCAATGCCATTATCGGTCAAAACATGCTCCAAAATTGTCGTTAAAACAATTTAACATCGTTACTCGAATTTTAATAGTTTAATGCTGTGAAACATTAATATTTTTTTTATTAAAAGACGGGAAAAAGACATTAAAAGTGTCAAAAACATTTGATCGAACAGTTATAGTCCGGGCCACAATATAGCGAGGTCGTAAACCAAACTGTCGAGGGTTGGGACCGACATGACATCTGGCTTGAGGATACCTTTTTGAATGTCTTTCTGTGTCTGTAACTGCACTATCTTTTTTCATTTTCTACATGGATATATTATAAGCAGGTACATTAAGATATTGTTCAGCGCGCACACTTATCTTTTTCGATTCTGTGATGCGCTTCAAGCGGTAACTTAATAGCGCTTGAATATTTGGTGGTTGGTGTAATGATTGAGATACAATTAACTATTTTAATATTTAATAATCTATCTTAGTCTACTACAGTGAAGTCTTCACCTTTCTTGTTTAACCTTGCTAGCTGGTTTTAAAAAATGTTTATTTGATGGTAATCGATTCTAACTTTTTGTTGTTATGCCTCTCCCCGTCAGAAAAGCTACCCTTAAATACAAATCGGCCTTGGATTCTGACGGGGATGAGGCACGCGGATTGGCTGCTGTGGTATTTTGAATTTTGTCAGGGAAGGCGGTCGTTTTCCCTGATTGGAGAAGTATTTGTCGAAAATATTACAGGTGACCGCCTCCAAGCCATCGGTCACCGTTAGGTACCGAGGGCGCCATCGAATGACGTCCGGGAAATTCCGCGTGCCTCGACCGTAGCAGGTAATAATTTTTATGAAGCGCCTTGACCTTACTAACAAGGAACCATCGCAAACGGTCCGGCTTCGATTTTGATGAAACTTTGTACACTTATAAAGCAGCCAAAAATAATCGACACGTATTTTTTTTTAGCTGCGGTAACTCGAGTTTAAGGGGTGAAACCACCCCTTGAAGTTTTGCCTCGAAACGGCTATCTCGAAAACGGAAAGACATACAAAAAAATTGTTAGTGGGCGAGGTTGATGGTTTCTTATGTACAATAACATGGTGTTAAAAAATTTAAAAAAATACAATTTGTTTATAACAAAAAAAAATTTATTAACTTAATTTTTCATTTTATTGAAATTTTCATAATGACAAAAAATGACGAGCATTTTATTCCAAATCCATTGGTATGCGATTTTTTAAAATTGCCTCCTACAGTTTTGCAGATTTTGATGATTTACATCTTGCGCGCACATTCATTATGGTAGTAGCCGTTCTAACTTTGATTTTAATGAAGCACTGTAGGCTTGCACTACTTCTAGAGGACAAAATCGGGAAAAATACAAGAATACCAATTTGTTGATGGAGGCTTCGTTAAGAAATTATTAACGTTTAAAGTTCCGCCCGTACTGAATTTTTTTCTCCGAAATGCCCAAGATTTCGGGGGAATGTGTAATGACCAAAAATGATTGTAATCGACCCTTGCAACCGAAAATAATTTTTTCAGAATAGTTTGAAATTTATTAATTTTGTTGAAAAATTTCACACATTCTCGAATTTTTTTCTCTAAAGTGCCTAGGATTTCGGGGGTATATATATTGACCAAAAATGATTGAAATTGACCCCCGCAGATGAAACTAATTTTTTTTTTTCGCTGAAAAATTGAGGCACCTACGGCCCTGTGTATTTTTCTTAAAAATTCGTTTTTCATTTTTAATAATTTTGTTTAACGCCCTACAAAAAAGTTGGCCAATACTTTTTTGTAGGTACCTATGAGCTCTACTTCAGAAAAAAGTTTCATTGAAATATATTCACTATTGTAGGAATTATGGCTGTTTGAAGATTGGACCATTTTTATGGGGTTTTTCTCATTTTGCGGGGTCAAGGATCAACTTTTTGCATATTTTTGCGATTTCTACGTATTCTTGATTAAAATACGCGTCGTTTGCATTCTTGAAAATTAAAATCCTTCAATCTGTTCAGAAGTTATGACATTTTAAAGATTCGCATGAAATTTTCGGCCAACATTTCTGGCCATAAATTACATTTTCGATTAGGAATTTTTTTCTCGAAAGTGCGTAGGATTTCGTGGGTATATGTATTGACCAAAAATGATTGTAATTGGCCCCCGCAACCGAAAATAATTTTTTCCTGGAGGATTTGAAATTTTTTAATTTAATTTTTTAATAACTTTTTAACGAAGGCTCAATCAACAAATTGATATTCTTGATTTTCGTCTTATTTTGGCCTCTAGAATCTCCCATTAAAATTTTTCCCAAGGGTGGCCGAACTTTTCCAAATCCATTGGTATGTAATATTTTAAAATTGCCTCTTACAGTTTTGCAGATTTTGATGATTTGCATCTTGCGCGCACATTCATTATGGTAGTAGCCGTTCTAACTTTGATTTAGTGCAAGCCTACAGTGCTTCATTAAAATCAAAGTTAGAACGGCTACTACCATAATGGATGTGCGCGCAAGATGTAAATCATCAAAATCTGCAAAACTGTAAGAGGCAATTTTAAAAAATCGCATACCAATGGATTTGGAATAAAATGCTCGTCATTTTTTGTCATTATGAAAATTTCAATAAAATGAAAAATTAAGTTAATAAATTTTTTTTTGTTATAAACAAATTGTATTTTTTTAAATTCTTTAACACCATGTTATTGTACATAAGAAACCATCAACCTCGCCCATTAACAATTTTTTTGTATGTCTTTCCGTTTTCGAGATAGCCGTTTCGAGCCAAAACTTCAAGGGGTGGTTTCACCCCTTAAACTCGAGTTACCGCAGCTAAAAAAAAATACGTGTCGATTATTTTTGGCTGCTTTATAAGTGTACAAAGTTTCATCAAAATCGAAGCCGGACCGTTCGCGATGGTTCCTTGTAAGTCATGCAAGACGAAATAAAACTGAAAAATGTTTAAGCCTAAAATAGAGAACCAAATTGCGGATTATAGAACGGCGTGGAAGACAACCAATGGTCGATGGCTTCATAAACTTATTCTTGCTACGGGTCAGGAGGGTTTCTTTAGACCTTTTGGCGGGCGTACATGGGTCCCGCTGTAATTAATGTTGTTACCTGGTAACAGATATTAACACTAGATTTACAGAAGCCGTCAATTTGACGGATGTTTGATTCCATATTTAAAATTGCAGAACGCGTAAATATTTTTTAACAACTTATGTTGAATTTGATTGATGCAATGGCATGAATACTTATTCTAATTAAAAAAAAAAAATCGTATTGTAAGGTAATCGTCAACATGAAAGGTATCAATAAATATACGCGCGATCAATGCCCGTAAATCTAGTATTAAAGACTTGAGTAAGACCTTTGCCTGTTACGATACCTCTAAAAATGGCGACACTAGATAAAACATTTCTTCGTAAGGCCCTTAGCTGTTCGTATTTCTGTCAATTCACTTGTTTCGGGTGCTGAAACGTGTAAATTTTGACACCTGCTCGAATTTACGACCTCGCTATATCGTGGCCCGGACTATACAGGGACAGTATCAATATTATCCGTCAAATTAATTATCGGAAGAAATTTTCAACCTGTTACTTCAAACAGTCGACATAGCACTATACAGAACTGTTGGTATAAACACGTTTCCCATTAACTCGTTTCCGTAGGGCGAAACACGCATTTAGAATCCCATTAAACGTTCATGGCATCTCCAGTTTCGGCTCGGAAGACAAGCTTTCGCCTAATCTTTTCCTTCATTTATAAAATACAATCGTGTGTATATATAATTCACGAGCGTCTAAGTTCCTCGATTATAACGTAAAATTTTCGTGAAAATTTCGTGTCGCGCGATCCACGGATAAATTGATATACACGGCGGTCGAAGTGTCCGAAGCAGACGAAACGAAGTCTCTTGAAATATTCACCTTATCAAGGGGGAATATCGAGGAGATTTCGAATGCTTTTTCTCCGTCTCCTTGCGCGTGATCGTAAATTGCTTTCATAGCCGTGGACCGGCAATTCCATAAGTAATTCAATCTTGGCTCTTCCCGCGCATAACTTTAATATACATGTGTAACCAGGCCGCGTACCATCCAGGCTTTACAATCAGAATCCTACGGATATTCCCGCCGTTCGCGGATTTTATTCCCCCGTTCCCCTCCCCCTCCCGGTTGCTCCCCATAAATATTTCCCGCCCGTTTTGCTCCCGGAGTCAACGGATCCTCCGATCACGTAATCCGCGATTAAAGTTCGGGGAGAATGGGCCAACCGTGGGGGCGTCAGAAATAACGCTTTATTTTTGCGGGCCACGGGTGTGCCAAGTTCGATTTTTTGTCCCGTTCGACTCGGCGCGAAAATAACTTTAATGGGGACGCGCTCGACCGAGGGCAACGGTCACGTATAGTGATGGGATCAACTTCAGTATGCGCAATAAGTCCTCTTACGCGAGCAATTAGCCCCGGAGCTTTCCTCCCGAGTCGAATCGCCACAATTAAACATGCGATGTATTATACGGCGAAGGAGAGATCGGTTCTCGCTTGAAAATGTGGTGAGCAAATGTACTTGCTCGGTTATTAGAAATAAAATTAACGTTGTTCAATTTTTATTAAATTTACCAAGCTCTATTTGGTACGTGATACGTTAAATATTTTAACGAGCGTAACCTATTAAAGTTTCCATTTAGGGGATACTCGTTCAGTATATTTTATTTATTACGGTTGGAAGATTCGAATCTGCTTGGAAGGTGTTTGATCCCATCGCTACGTAGTTCTCCGCCAATTGCGGTTACGGAAATAACAGAAATATTACGAAACCGTAGGGACTGTTACGATCTGCGTTCCGTAATTAAAGGCAAAAAGGAAGTGGCGATCCGCCAAATAAATGGAACTGATATCGACGATTTATGCGGTCGTTCGCCCCGGTCGAGGAATGCACCCGTTGCTGCAAATAATGTACAGCGGCTGTAAGAAATATTGATAACTGAACGATGACGCCATTATCGTGCAAAGGGCGAGATACATACACGTCGCGATCGGCTCCTTGTACCGATGACACAAGTGGCAATTCCTGTGATAGATCATCCGTTCGTTCTCCTCGTTTCGAGACATATATTTTGGACTGTTTACACACGGGTTTCCGGTTTACGAGTAGAAATGTATCCTTCTCGGTTGGCGATAGAAACGCAATAATCTGGCGAGGTGTCGCCGCGCTGCACTTCGTCTAATTGAACTTTCGTTCGAGCTGCAGAGTTTACGATTCGACGTTCTCGGAGGGAAATAAGCAAGATGAAAACCTTTGGTAATTCGAGAGACAGGTTTGCAATGATAGGTACGAGTATCTTCGATTCAAACTACGTTAAGAGATTTTGATTCGAACGGTCTCAAAATGTCTTCGAAGTTCCAGTGAATTCTCAGAAATCTTTCATGGGTAAATGTTTTCGAATTCTTGGTGATCTGGAAGGAAAGATAAATACGGGAACAAAGAATGTTCAAAGATTATAGAAGCACACAATAAAATTGTCACAAATTTTGAGAATAGCCAGAAAGTTTTAAGACTCGAGACACAAAATATTCAAGGCTCTCAAGAATAACAAGGCTATCGTAGTTCTGAGAGAGTTTCGAAGTCTCTCAAATCTTCATACTCTTAACTTGCTTGAAAATTTGCAAGTTGGAGCAGCGGAGTCCCACTATATCTTGAGTTAAGGAACGAATTTTTGTCTCGACATTTTGGCATATTCCTGGGAGTAATGGAGCTCTTAAAAGTCTAGAGACTGTTGAATGTTTTAGAGGCTTTGAATGCCTCGAAAATCTTGAAAGTTTTAAGTGTGATGAACGTCTAAAAAATGGAAGGACATTGTCTTTCCACCCATCCTTCCTAATACTGATTTCTATTATATAAATTAGCAAACTTAAAGACCTCTACATCGAAGCTACGAGTAAGTTCCAAAGTAAACACAAATTGTATAAGATCAATTTAATACTAAATTCTTTGGTAGTATGACGATAACAAGCAGTTCCAAGTTCGTTAAAAGTTTAAATGTCTTCGCGACTACCAACGACTTACTTATTGGGTTAAATTGCAAAACAGCCTAATTTGGTGAAAGCATCATTCTGCTCTATACACTTCGTCCGCGTACATTTTACTTTTCTCTTTTTATTTGGTGAACCAAGTCGTTAAATAAATACGAAAATTAACAAGATATATTTTTCGTTTCTTCGTTTCCAACTGTGTTTGTATCTGGTACAATAAATAGAAAAGATTGATGTATTCAGCATCATTTAGATTGATGTATTTAAATAATTCGACTTTGGATTTCATTGTTATTTGTAGTTCTTGTTCCATTTATGGTGCAGAGAATACTTTGAAAACCTTATATGCTGCGTGGAAAGCGTTTGCAAGCGCGTAGACAGATAATATAGGGCTGAGAGTGTGAAGCTTCACACCAATCAAAATCGATTCTGCCCTCCCTGTCTCCCCACCATTCGATTTCGAGAGTAGAGGGTCTCGAGTCCGTATAAATACAGGGCCGCGAGCCAGAGGAAATTAGAGAACTTGCGGAAGTACTATAGTGAGCTTGCGACTATTTCAAACTACAGGCGCTGCTAAGATACTTTTAACCAGCTCCTTAGTCATCCTTTTGAGGTAGCTCTGGCTAGCTCCTCGAATCTTCTGAGGTGGCTTTAATCAAGTCATTGTTCGCGACCAGGTAGCTTCGATCAGCTCCTTCTCCAATATTACACGCTTCGAAGTGGCTTAATCAGCTCCCTGACCACTTCTTTCGAATTAATCTCGATATCTATCAATGTCTGAATACCACACAATAACTACTGGAGTCTGAATGTTACATAAACCAGCATTTAATCGTCACGTACAGTGTAAGTCGTTTAAAATGATCCCTTCGAATAACTTTTGCACTGATAATTAAAAAATCAGGTTTTCTGTGGATAAAGGCGTAGAGAATATACGAAGATCAAGTTTACTTCTTTAAAAACCGCTGTCGGTTGGGCTAATTTGAAAATATTAAATTTAGGCCGTATTTCGGGCAACTCGAATCGATCGAAGTCGCGAGACCTACTTCGTGCTTCCTCTTGGCACGATTGTTTAAAAGTTCGGTAGGAAGTAGCAAAACACGACTAATTAGCCATCCGTGGTAATGAACGAAGGGCCACACAACATCATGGTTATTGATGACGATTTAATAAGATCCAATTAGGTCATTGCGTGGCCAGATTTTTCGTTTCTTTTTCCACGGTAGTCATTTCGATTTCGTTTACCTTAACATCGATCCGTGGATTATGTTTAACTTCCGTTGCTCTAATTAATGTGCTCGTTAATTAGTCAACCTACAGCAAACACTTCGACGTTTCGATGGACTTTCGGGCTATCGATTAAAGGACACCTTTGGACGTAGCGTCTTCGTCTCCAATAAGCAGCTCGAAACTTTGTTTGATGCAGTTTGATTTAGTAGAACGTCGAGCTACAGCAGGATTGGCTAATCGAACTAGTATCGATTTGGTACCAGTAGACTTCTAGTTGACTAAAGATGCTTACTCTGTCTCATCTCGTCTGGTCGAGTGACGAAAAGGTATTCGGTAAGCGAAATTCCAGCCACTATGAAGTTGTTGGATCATCGTTTGTGTTTGGTGACTGTATTTTTTTACGCTTGCGTCATTTGGAAGTTCGTTCTCTATTAGATTGCGTACGGAATTGGCACTGAATTTTCAGCCCACTTTATCAATTTAACAATTCAACATTTAAATCATTATTTATACTTTTTTAGTTTTCGAACAGTTAAACGAGATCAAAAATAACATTCCATGAAACCGATTGATCAAAATTATTTTGCAAATTACAGGATAAATAAGATATTTTATCAAGCCTGATTTTAATATTAAATTGCTGCCAACCGTGTTTAACTCTTGATCATTACAGTTGTATATTGGTTACAATCAGTTGTTTTTAATTATTGAATTGCAAATTGTATGCATTAATGACGTATGTAATATAGAAAACATATCCAAGTCGTAGACTATCTCTCACGAATCGATGCAATAATTTTAATAAATTGTGTTTACTAAAAATGACCAGTCGTGGATGGATATTTACGGGGAATTGACCAGAGTTTATGGAAATGGTATCATAACCAGCGGTGGAAGAAACCTATTCCGCCCAGATTGCAAAAAACGAAAATATCAGAGTCAAGAGTAAAAACCGTATTAAATTGCTTTCTTTATGGAAAAGGAGTCGTCCAAAAAGAATTTCCATCAACCAACGAAACTGTGAGTTCTATCTAAAATTGAATAGTTATTGATCTTTTGAAGCAACTCAACAGTTCTAGTCAATGAATTCGCGTAACGATTCGCTCTTTTTAATTTGGATTCGCTTAATTCTACTCTCGAAAATCTCCATCTTGCGCGTACCTTCTCTTCGAGCGTTTAATTAATTCGAATACCGTAACAAAACTTTTTCCGTTAATACCAAGCGCGTGCAACTTCTTGCAATTTATTCAATACCAAGAACAAGTAACGTGACAACGGTACTTCTTCCGATGCTAACCGTGTAAAGTCGTGATCTACAACGTGCCCAAATTCCAGGAGAGGCGTATTTTCGCTATTGAATACCGGAACTAATGAAATTGCTCTTTGAATTCAGTTTTGTGGTAGAGGATGATTGAATGCCCCTGTCATAGACCGTGAAATCATACCGTTCTCGTTAGCCGTGGTTGAAATGAAAAGTTACGAGCTGTACCATTCAGAATTTCAATTCAGAAGGCAATTCCAGGGACAGATAAATCGCGGATCGTCAACAGGGACATTAACCTCATCTTGACTGCTCAGAAATAACTTGGGCAGTCGAATCCCTTAGCCCTTCGGTAGATTCGTAGGAATAATTGCGAATATTGTTGGTTAGTCGACTCTTAAATTTCTAGTTGTAATGAAAAATACAACAGTAGTTCTGGTGTTAACGAAGATCTGCATGGCATAGTGAAAAGGTGATCTCTCGTAATCTTTCCTTTTGTTTTTAATAATTAAAACAATTTGAACTTAGGGCAGTACTCGGAAATAACTTGGACAGTCAAATCCCTTAGTCCTTCGGTAGATTTGTAGGAATAATTACGAATATTGTTGACTAGTCGTGTCTTAAAGCAGTAGTTTTGGTATTAACGAAGGTCTGCGTGACGCAGTGAAAAGGTGGCCCCGTCTTTCGTAATCTTTCCTATTGTTATCAATAATTAAAACAATTTGGACTTACGGTGGTACTCCCTCGATGTCGAAGAAATGGAAATGAAGATGGACTCGTTCGGTGGGCTGGCCGTTGAAAAAGTAGTAACATTCCGTGTTCCGCGGATACAAACCGGGGTAGTTTGGGGATGCGAACGTACCGTTCCGAGTCTCGTTGCTGTTGTACGCAAAGGCACAGGGAAATTCCGCCTCCTGCTTGCCCGTAGTTATGCCAAAGTCTGAAACAGCGAAACAATGCTGCGATAATGTCCCTTAAATCTCTCTTGTCGCGAAGAATAAACTTGGGTCGAGCGCCGACGTGCCCATCGCGCCCCCGTTTCGCCGAATAAGTATGACGTTTCGCGAGCTCGTTAATTAAATCGCACCTATCCCAAGTATTTAATTGCGAAATGAAGGAAGTCGGTAACTTCGAATCGGCCGTACGGTCGCTTTCGATCGTCTTCTCTCTCTCCCCGTTTCTCCGTTTCTCCACCTTCGCTCGCGTAATGAAATATAGCTCAAAGGTTTCACCGTCAGCTGTAAAACAGTAAAAGCAGAGAAGTCCCAATGTTCCCAGAGACATTTAGAACTTCTACTTTTATATTAATTTATTTTGTTGCTGTTTAACAGGATATCGACTGACGTACACCGGCGTAATTATCACTTTGACGACATTGTTCGTACCTTGGCGTACCTTGGCGAAACCTTTTCCGTTTATCGCGACCTTGTTTCTAGAAGCTTAGTTGTTTGTCTTGATAGTTTGAACAAATCTGTGCTAAATTCAATAATTCCAAATTGCAACCAGCTGGTTTTTTAATATAAAAGTAAATTTATTAAAGGAATTTTTTGTCAATCGAGTACTTACTATTATACCTCTGTCGGTGATATTTTTTTGTTACATTATCGAAGATCTATTTCATTGCTAAAATAGTCGATTAAGTGACTTTATGAATATTACTACCCATGCATGTATAGTCCGTCCGTGAGAAAAATCTTAACGAGTGTTTGCATCCCCACTCAATATTAAAGTCCCCTAACTTCCCTACCCTCGTACGCATTGTTGCTATTGGCTGGGGACAGCGACGAAGATCACCAGCGGGTGACCTCCGCCAATAGCGACAATGCGTGCGACGGTAGGGGGAGCTGGTAAATTGTAAACTAGAGTGGGAACGTAAACACTCGTTAGGCTTCTTCTCGCTGACGGATAGTACGTGTTCTAAGGAAAACATGAACAAAACATATCGATTCTGAAATACATAACATATAGGTATAGCTTAATTTATTTCGTATTAAACGTTCTTTTTTGGTCACACGTTTGGACCACTTTCGATAACATTGACCTGTGTAATTTTGAAACAAGTAAAATTAAATAATATAAATGTATCTGTGCACTTTCCACTCATTGATATTATTTAGAAGAAAGTCGATAGAATCCTTTGGTCTTTACTTTATTTAAAAATCAATCTTGTACTGCACTCTATATTGCAAACATTTTTCTCCGCTGTCCGTTAACGATTTTTCCAATTAATAAAAGTATCAGAAAGAACACTCTTTTTATTTTAATTTTTGATAACGATAATTATGACAGAAAATAGAAGCACCGTTAATATTGGAAACTGTTTTTTAATTATCGAACGTGTATCATTAAATGTGACTCTCAGTGCATGAAAAATAAATACCTGATACACGTTACGTGGAATATAAAAATATATGAACAAATTTATATTTCGTATATGTTTAGAATGAAATGCTTACTCAATACAAGCAAGATATTATTATTAACAATAGGTTTCGTTCACAGTTTATTTGTGGTTTCTTCGTTAATAGTGTTAAAACTGAAGCAAAAATGCATTATATTCTCCAATATCAAATAAGCATTTTTCAAGCCAAAGGAATCGAAAGGATATTGAATATTAAGTAACTTTATGAAATTCTAGTCAGACTAACGGATCTGACCCGTAATTATTGTTTTATTCAAACGCTTATTACTCGAATTTACACATTATTCGATTATTTCGAGATGTTTGTGATTGCCTGTCTGGTATTGCGATCCAGCTGGCGCGGTTAATAAATATTGATCTTCGCTAATGAACAGCCACACGTCGAAATATAAAGGATCAGTCGAGCATTAATAAACAACAGGTGCATAATAGCTTACGTATTATTAACTAGATGTTATTATTATGCCACAATTTCCCAATGAATATATGTACATCTCGTCGGCGATCCTGTGTATTCGAACGCAATACACGAGCAAGTTGACTGATATATCTGTCCCTTAACGTATAAATCATACCAGACAATTTAATATCTCATGGTAAACATTGACGGACGGTTTCATTGTTAATCCATTTAAACAGAATTCTTTAATCGCGATATCGTACAATTGACCGAACGATATTCTCGCGGGAAATGTCGTGTCTGTTGCACGTAACAGTTCAGTGGCATAAAGGTGTTCGGTAAATTGAATCCCTTTTGAAAATATTCAATTTTCATACTGCACGCTTCCGAGTTAGCGAAATTCTGAATTCGATGCAAAGTACGCGTAAATATTATTATGTATCAATTTGCAGAAACAGATGTTTTAATTGAATGCAAAACAACCTGAACTACTGCGGGTTATAACAGACCTATAAATATATTCTAGCTCCAAAAAAATAATCTTTAATACTTTTTCTGTATTTAAGAAATAGTTTGTTAACTTGTATTCAGCAGAGTAAAAAGATCCAGAAGCAATCGGTATTATCCATCGAGAATTCTCAATTCACATTAATTTATAGTAACTCGTACGCGATAAGTCAATTGCGGAAAGTTCATAATTTCCAAGTTTAGGTACCGAGACAATAAACATTTCTCAATTCCGTTGATTCGTCGACAGGGCGCGGCGCCAGTGTTGCCAACAGTCGTTGATTCCCGGCTGGAAACTGAATATTAAAGCTTTAAAGCGAAATGGGTTAATTATAAGATCGCGGGTCGTCAAGGCTCGTTTGAAATTGTTCGGTATGGTCGTCGGAGCCGCGGTGGAAGTTCTCTGTCGAGTTCCGAAAGTGTGATTCCCCGTCGTGCACGTCGGCCAAGTTTCTTCGCGGTTGTAAACATCGAGTAATAAGCTTTCGCGGACGCCCGCGCACTTTTGCGCTTAGTTAGCCGTATTTGTTACTGGAACGATGCGCAACAAACCACTCGACTTATTCATTACGGGTGAAGAGCAGTCGGGTAGGCTACTGGTATGATAAAGTAGTTTGAGTGTTTCAAGAGAGGTGATTTCACTTAAGATTAGCGTGACTTGGAACCGTTATCCCGCTCAGAAATTGTACTTCCTTCATTGCTAAGTTCACGTTTAACTTTGTATGGCAGAGTTGAAAATATTAGATTGCGAAGCGAAGAAATACGGTAACCCTTGTTTAATCCTCCGAGCGTCGACCGCCAGTAGGTTTCGGATTACGTTTTTGCATACGTCCGAGTTATTCCGCGTCGTACATACTGGATGTTCCAACAATCATGGTACAGCAAAAAACAATTCCGCGCGAAGAAACAAGTCGAAAATATTGAATTAAATTTTTCACGGCTTGGACATTAACGCAAGTAGAAATATCGAGCTATGGTCAGACGCGGCAGGAAAATTGCATTCAGTCGCGTATTCTTTTAAGAAAACAGCAGAATATTCACTCAGAATTTGGTACAGTATTGTTGAGTACATACTTAATAATCCAGTATACTTACTCTGTGATATTTTAAGTAACATTACATCATCGTTTCCTCGTATTAATTAAAAGTTTACGAGTTATTGATTTCATTTTTTAAGGTAACGCTTTTACGAAACGTTAATGGGGAAGGCAGAACAGTCTTCCAAGCTATAAAAATTAAAGTTTGCTATTCTAGTGGAAAGTCTACGGTATCCCATTATGAATTAAGTAGACTTCCTCGTTACTCCACCAAAGACTAATAATAATTAAATCATTTTGGTGATTTCGCGTCTGTTGAATTTATACTACGATATTAATCGAACAATCTTTAAATAATTCTTGGAAAGTAGGGTAAGTACCCCGATAAAAAATGTTAACTACAAATAGAATTGAAATCCTTCCAGTAAGTGTAATCGAACGAAATGATTTATTTATCAAAACTTGGCCCGGCGTCCCATATTCTGAAATATTAGTTTAAATTTATGGGATCGTGATCGTAAACATTTCGCGCGAAAGATTTGTGTTCGCGTACGTATTATTTTTTAGATTGAAACCGAGAGGAAACGTTCGTGCCGCGGCCTCCTCGCGTAACAATTGGTCACGCGACCTGCGACGGGTTAAGGACGAAGTATTGCGCACAGTTTCGCGATTTTTACGGCTGTCGCATCTCCTGGGGAGATTTTCAGCGTCGAATTGAGCGCCGCGCAGCGTCGGTACTATTGCGAGCATTTAACATCCGGCGTAATGTCCGTGTATGAGCGTAGCCCAGTGTCGGATAGGTGCTCGCGCGCTTACTGTTTTCTCATACTTCCGTCTCTTCTGGCGCGTTTGTGTACTTTCGGAAACAACGAACTTCGCCTCTCGTTGCATTGTGCGTCTTCTCTCTCCTATCCACTACCCCGCTATCTCTTTCGCGCACGTTACCAAGTAATACCATGATTTACGTACGGTGCTGCAATCGCGACGTTCATTTCTGCATTGGTAGGAATTTTAATCTGACAAATGTGAGGAGCACCGAGACGCCGCGACACGATGAAATTGTCGCTACGGTATATCGTTCGAACGTAATATATTTGGTCGAATAAAAACGGGGAAAAATTGTTCGAAATTGTAGGATTCATCGTCTATTCTTCGGTTTAGAAAAACACAAGCTTCCATAAGCTTCCGTAAGAATAAAAGAAATATTTAAAGACTGTGTTTCGTAGGTCAGAACCGTGGATCAAACGGATCGTACACATGTTTTATAGTTTTAATCTGTTCATTATAATGCAAATCCACGCATGGATAACGGAAATCCGCGTATTTTTGCAAACCAGTGAAATCGATTAACCATCAAAAGTGGCGCGACTCGTAAAATCCAAGTGTCCGAAAGTCGTAAAGCGTCGTGTCTGTTTACTCTGGCGAACGGAAACACGACGAGAAAACAAACCTTTAATTAACGATAATGCATGTCGGAAGGTATCAACCGAAGCGATTGCAGTTCTGCTCGACTCTCGCGAGAGAATTGTTGTTTCTTTCGCGAGAGAATAATGACAAGTAGCTAATGGACTTTA